AAAGATCAGCTTAAATTCAGTTTAACTTCAAATACCACGGGTTGACTTTTTCTAGAAGCGCATCAGGTGGGCTCCGAGTCAGACATGTCAATAATTTCATATTACCAGCCAACACGATCCCACCTCTGGCATATTTTAAAGTAGACTGCTTCAAGGGAATGACAGCTACAAATCACCAGCACCAGGTAGCCGATTAGATTGAAAATTTTACGTGGCCCATAAAGGGCAAACTCCTACCACTGCTTGGAACTTTTCCAGCTGGCAGGCAAAACCAGACAGTCCAAATTCTATTTTCCCTCAACAATGACATATTGACAGCCATCACCAATTTTGTTTTAAAATACAGGTAGTACTGCTATAATGCATGTCTCGTTAACACGAATTGGCTGTAACGTGATCGATGAACAATGGATGCTGTTTGGATAATGTGAACTTTCTGCTGTATAGGTAGCGCAATTTTCTACAGCGCGAGGTCACAAGACGCAACTATTGCATTTAGGAGAACTACCTGCATTGTAAATTTCTTTACGATATCCTCACGCCCTTCTACTCGCAGCATTCACCTCTTAAGGACTCCCATTCACCCTCGAGACATAGGAGCCTAGCCAGGCTCACTAATTAAGACAGGTTGGGTGGAGATGGATATTCAAATGCCCACCTTCTGTAAAATTGTCCTTTGGGTCCTGCCATCAGCATTTACAAGCAAAGACAGGATTGGGCAACAGGAACAAATATCCTGCCCCTGAAATGTGACAGTGTAATTAAACTGGATTCTTACAATTAAAAATTATGATTTAAAAGTAAATACATCTGGCCATGTCACCAGCATACACCTGTTTTAACTTATCTCCCCCCAAACTGATTTTTTTCTCTTGATGCAGCAAGAATAAATAAATTTCCTAGGCTTTAAACTCTTTTCTACCCTCTAGCAAAATTTTCTACTCCACTACATTCTGTTCCACTGCATCTCAACTCTCTTTCCAAGATCTGACCACACAATAGTTTCTCCCTTAGTTTCAAGTGAATCCGACTTGTATACATCAGAAACGGTCAATCCTCTTTTCAAATCTGTTTAAGCAATCTCTGAACTCAGTATTCATATTGCTCTGTCATTAGTTTCCTCTTTTAATGCTCAAAACTGACAACTACTTCAATAGGCCACATCCTTCCATCCTTGCCAAATATCAACTCATTTTAAATTTTTCTTCTCCTTATGCAAATACCAAAGTGAAAGGTGACACTTCATTATTTTATCTTCATCATTTTTGTTTGGAGCTGTGAATTGATAGCTGTCAACTGAAGGTGACCTTTTAGAAACAAGTTGATGCTCACACTTAAATGAAAACAAAAAGAACAAAACCTGATACTTGTTTGAGGGCAGGTCTGGAAATTAATTGCAGGTTGATTCTTGTTTGAAGAAACTGTATGTTTCAATCCTTCTCCAGAGTTTTTTCAGAGTTTGAGTTATGCTGAAACAGATGGCAGGTGTTCGAACGCTAACAGAGCCATTGCAGGGATGTTGATGCCATCCAAATTGACAAAGACAAAGACAAAGACAAAGACAAAGACAAAGACAAAGACAAAGACAAAGACAAAGACAAAGACAAAGACAAAAAAAACCAGAGGAACTAAAGTTTGAACTATTTTGAACAGTACGTCTTGTCTGAAGGATTGTGGCTGTCAAAGCCACAGAAAGGAGATCCGATTGCTCTCTGGTTATCCTCCCATCATCAACTTAGAGAGTTCAGAGAATAGAATCCCAGTTAGAAGCATTAGTGAATATTCCTTAGTGCCTACTGGAAGCTACATGCCTTGACCAGTGTCTTCAGAAACCAAGCAAAATACAATTCCATATGCCTGTACAATTATGAATTGTGAAAACTACTTAAGTGGACTGACTAGTTACAGCTCTTATTTTTCTTTTGATTTACCCTTTAGATGTGCATCTGACAGACAGTGCGAGTGGAAGATCCCAAATCATTTTTGATTCCGGTTTAAAATCAGACATTAGATTACCCAATTGTTTATCTCTGCTCTGCTAAAACTACGGTATTATATAATAAATAATTAATTTTTTGTTTAAACTATAAACTTGGTCTTGGTTATTCAAGTCATCTGGTCAGGAATTACTGGGGCTATTTTGAAGGTCATCAAATATTTTAAATTTCACTAGTGTTGCAAACACACAGTAAAATTAGAAAATTTTTGGCCTTCAAGGGAGATCGGACTTGATTTGGATGTCTGTCTCCATGTCATACCACAGGGTGAAATCATTCTGCTGATTCCTGCCAAAAAAGTTTGTACCTTATCCTTTTCCATTTTCATTTGCCCAGCCATTTATGCATGGGGAATGTGGACTACGTACAGCAGACATCTCAAAACCTTGGAGAGTTATCACCAGCGTTGCATTCATAAAATCCCGCAAATCCACTGGCAGGATTGATAGATCTACGTGAACACCCTTTCCTAGGCCAATACCCCCAGTATCAAGGCACTCGTCAAGCACCAGTCCCTTTGCAGATGCTTCTCTCCAGTTTCTCCATTCCAGAGCAAATGATTCCAAGGTCGGTGGGAATGCTGCATGTTTAGGGTGGCTTTCAGGGTGTCCTTTGTCGTGTTTCTTCTGTTCTCCTAGTGATTGCTTACCATTGCAGAGCACAGTAGTGCACTTGTTTAGGGAATTTTGTGTTGGATATGTGCAAAACGTGGTTGCCAATCACAGCTGGTTGTGCTTGACTCATGCCTCTGTACTGGGGGTACTGGCCTGGGAGAGGATGCTCACATTGGTACACCTATCCTGCCAGGTGATTGGCAGGATTTTATGAAGGCAGCACTGGTGATAACTCTCTAGGGATCTGAAGTGTCTGCTGTACAGCATTCGCGTTTCCTACACATACAAGAGGCTGTGAATCATGGCTGCTCCACAGACCATGAACTTGGTGTTGGGTTTGATGTCTAGGGCTTCAAACACTATCTTCCCTCAGGCAGCTGAAGACCTCAGAGTTGACGCTGGGTTTCATCGGCAATGTCTGCTCGCACTGAGAGGAGGCACGGGAAATGATCCACATTGTCAAAGGACTCGTCATGGATTTTAATGGATGGACTGGGGGCAGCATTGCATGGCAGTAGTAAGTTGGTAGAGAATTTGTTTTCCAGCTGTTTTGTCCAAAGTTCATTCTCTCATAAACCTCAGGTGATTCTGTCAATAATAGTTTGTAGCTAGGCCTTAGTGTGTACACATGAAGACGTTGTCGGTGTTATACAGCTTCATTGGTGGTAGCTTTCTCCTAATTGCTACACTCTGGAATGCTCTTATTTAGTCCATTTGCCTCACCACACTCCTTCAACTTTCCCTAACTTTTCCACATATTTTAGCTCAGATCGAAAACTTCATTGCAAAGTAGCCTGAAGGTGTTTTGCTGCATTAAAACCATATATAAAGTCAAATGTTTACTATTTAAAAACTAACATTATCATGCAAATGGCATTGGTGAATAAAAAAATTTATGCAAGTATATTTTTTAAAACCAAAACACAGAACATTTCATCTTAGAAAAGAATCTAGTCTGCAAGATATCTTGCTTCATCTAGATTCCCTTCTCACTTCATGACGGTACTGACGACTTGGTAGTGTACAACTTCACAGGTGCTACTCATTCTCCCACTCCCCATTCTCACAATCATTACTCATGAATGAGCCTCAACATTAGGTGGCTTGGCTATTCACATCAACAGGGGCTTTCGCTAGTTCAGGTCCAAATCTAATCCTACCTTCATTAACTGCTTGAAAAAACATCTTCCTTAATATATAATTCAGTGTTTAAAAAAGAAGATACACAGGGAGTATTAAGGAAGGCTAACAGAAGAGAATTCCAGAACTTTGAGCAAAGAGTTAAAAGCCCAGAAGACTATCATTAGCCATCCCTTAATTCGATGGAATATCTCTAGTGTCCAAGTTGCTGAAACTGTCAAGATCTCCAAGTAGTACAGTGATGAGAACTGCCTATACATTTGGACTTTTATTGACTTATAAAAGTGTTGCCATCACTTGTTACTGTAGTTTTTGTGGACAGATGAGCTTGCACAGCTGCTCTAATGTTGAATCTCCTTGTTGATGGTGGCCTCTGGAGAAAGGTGGCTGCCAAGGAATTGGAAATGCTCAAAAGGAGCAATGGGGGAAATGATCTAAAAGCAACTGGAAGTATGGAAAACCTATGCTGACTGCAGGCCCAAAGAAGTACAGTCAAACAAAAACATCTGTGGATCAATGATTTTGGGAAGGAAAGAAAAAAAAAATAAAAAAGAAACCAACACTGACTGGTTTAATAAAGGAATATTGCCTACTGCAGTATTAGATGAGAGCATACAGCTACGAAGAATCAAAAGCTGGCTAATTATCCCCTAACTAACCCAGGAACAGACTTCCTGCAGAGCCTTAACGACCACGAAGCAGAGATCAGCTAACTAGCCTAGAGAAGATTCTATAAATTGGAAGCCATCTTGAATTTGTAAATTATTGAGCAGTTATGATAAAGGCTCATCTAATCTTTCAGAAGAAAAAAGGTTCCATAGGTAGAACTGTTTATTTTTATTATTACTTAAAGAATGATAACTATCTTCTGCTCACAATAGCATGCGCATGCATTAACATCAAATCTCCACATGCAATCTCATTAGTGACATCCAGCAATAAATAAAAAAAAAATTTCATGACAGAATCAGAATAAAGACCTTGAAAGATACTTGCTACTCAGGAAAAAAACAGCGGTTGTATATTTGAACAGAGAGGCCAGAGATGAAAATTTGTATATTTGGAAAAATCAGCACCAGCTTCAAATTACAAAAAGGGAATTTTCACATTGCTGTGCCAAATCTTTGAATCTTCAAAGTGTTTACATCTCTTTACATTTGGCAACATCATATTTATTATTGACAATTTAAACTCATGCTGAACCATGCTGCACACATTCTTGACAGAAACACAAATCCTCAGGACTTACCTGCAACAATGATAAGTGAGAAAGTAATTAGGGTCAAGGAAGATCCATTGCAGATCATGTTAGCAATTAACTTAAATAAAGGAAACAGCAGCAAAGCAGCCCAGAACAGCCAGTTTACAAGGACCCACGGTCGTTTTGGTGGTACAATTGGAGTGCCTGGATAAAAGCCTTTTTTGAAGTAGTCCACCTGCAGCATGTCCTAGAATTAGAAACAGATGGTATATTTTAGTGAAAAATAAACTAAGCTAAAAGGTTCATCCAAGATATTATTTGTATATTGTGTCTCAGGTTCTTCTGGTCATTTCTATAGTCAGATGATGCATTGACGTGTAAGGATATTATAACTTGCGCATAAAGTGAGATGGAATCACAACAAGTATGACAGTGATGTGCAAATGCATTTCGCTGTGCTTTCTTCAGGCTCAAGATATACAACATACTGGGCTTGACACCATTTTGTTGTTTAAAATAGTGTTTGTATGTTCAATGAACAGAATAAAAAGAAGACATGAGGAAAATTAGGCTGGATAACACAAACTTGCTTTACACAAAAATATTTCATACCCAGATAATCATATTTCTTTGTCGCAGACATTTAGAGTAATTAATGCACTGAAGGGGAGTGTTCTGGCAAACTACAGAACCAACAGTAAAGTTTAGAATTTTATTTTCCTCTTCAAAAATCAGGGACAGTTTCTGGACTGTCCACTGCAGTCTTTACAAAGGTTGATAAATCTAAAATGATCCAAGTATAGTCTAAATAATACTTAGCAACAGCTATACAAGATTGACAAAAAGTCCAAGAACTCTTCGCAGGAGGCTTAACTGTTAGTCACCTGAAAAGAGACTATTTGCCATCATTTCACATCTACATAATTGCATTAGTGAAGCATCAAGATCATTCCATTTTGAAATTATATACAATTAATCTGGTCAATTCCTCATCTCCTTTTGAGAATCCCTAGTATACCCTCTACATTTTCTAGAGCAGAGGGGGAGGAACTGGCAAGCTTCACATTAAAAAAAAAATTCAATTTTGTGCTTCTCTCTACATAAAAATGTAGTAATAAAGCACAACTTACATTTTTATAATTTATAACCATAAAAAAAAATTCCAAGATCTTTCAGAAGAGTATCATGAAAGAAAATTTGACTCTCAACCACAGAGATTAGGGCAAAACAACCAATTCTGGTCAAAGATAGTGACTAATTCCCTCCTTTTAAGATGCTCATTAAAACAATACACAGTCTCAAGGCCTTGTCAGCTGAAAGTACAGCCAGTGGTGGAGTATTTAAAAATCAAAGATATTCAGGAAATCAGAATTATAGGAATATTAATGTCTGAAGGTCCGGGAGCTGAAGGATATTAGAGAGAGGAATGGGCCTGACCATGGAGTGGTTTGAAAACAAGGATAAGAATTTTAGCATCAAAGCAGCATCTACAAAGAGAGGAACAGTTAATTATTTAAGTCCAGAGATGTAGCCTACTCCTGGGAAATAAGGCAGGGCAGGTGACTGAGGTGTCAGTGGGGGAGCACTTTGGGGCCAGTGACCATAATTCTATTAGCTTTAAAATAGTGATGGAAAAGGATCGACCAGATCTAAAAGTTATAGTTCCGAATTAGAGGAAGGCCAATTCTGATGGTACTGGCAAGAACTTTCAAAAGTTGACTGGGGACAGATGTTTGTAAGGGCTAGGCTTGTACATGTAGGAATGCTGGATGACTAGAGAGAGAAATTGAGGTTTTTGTCGTCAAGGAGGAGGAGGAAGCATATGTCAGGTATGGACAGCAGAGATTAAGTGAATACAGGCAGTAGGAGTATTTTACAATGCATTAAAGACAAAAGAGTAACGAGGGAGAGAATAGAGCCCCTTAAAGATCAGCAAGGCCACCCATGTGTGGAACCGCAGGAGATGGGGAGCTACTAAACAAGTATTTTGCAGTGTTTACAGTGGAGACAAATATGGAAGACAGAACGTGGGGAAGTAAATAGCAACAGCTTGAAAAATGTCCGTATCACAAAGGAAGAGGTGCTGAATGTCTTAAAATGCATCAAGGTGGATAATTTTTTTTTTTTTTTAAATCCACAGGTGAAGTGCTGGAAGGCTGGCAGTTGGCTAACATTATGCCACCATTCAAGAAAGGTGGTAAGGAAAAGCCAGGAAGCTATAGACCAGTGAGCCTGACATGGGTGGTAGGCAAATTGTTGAAGGGAATCCAGAGGGACAGAATTTATATGTATTTGGAAAGGCAAGGACTGATTAGGGATAGTCAACATGGCTTTGAGCATGGGAAATCGTGTCTAACTAACTTGATTGAGTTTTTTGAAGAAGTAACAAAGAGGATCAATGAGGGCAGAGTAGTGGATGTGATCTATATGGACCTCACCAAGGCATTCAACAAGGTTCCTTATGGTACAGATTAGCAACGTTGGATCACATGGAATACAGGGAAAACTAGCTACTTGGATACAGAACTGGCTTGAAGGTAGAAGACAGAGGGTGGTGGCACAGGGTCACTTTTCAGACTGGACGCCTGTGGCCAGCAGTGTGCCACAAGGACCGGTTGCTGGGTCCACTGCTTTTTGTCATTTATACAAATGATTTGCATGTGAACATAGGAGGTATGGTTAGTAAGTTTGCAGATGACACTAAAAATTGGTGGTGTAGTGGACAGCAAAGAAAATTACCTCCATGTATAATGGGACCTTGATCAGATGGGCCAATGGGCCGGAGGAGTGGCAGATAGAGTTTAATTTAGATGAATGTGAGTGCTGTATTTTGGAAAGGCAAATCAGAGAAGGACTTATACACTTAATGGTAAGTGGAGTCACAGGTAGGTAGGTAGGTAGGTTAGCGAAGGAGGCATTTGGCATGCTTGCCTTTATTGGTCAGTGCACCAAGTATAGGAGTTGGAGATCATGTTGCGGCTGTACAGGGCATTGTTTTGGCCACTTTTGGAGTATCACATGCAATTCTGATCTCCCTGCTATAGGAAGGATGTTGTGAAACTAGAAAGGGTTCAGAAAAGATTTGAGGATGTTGCCAGGGTTGAAAGTTTTGAGCTATATGCAGAGGCTGAATAAGTTGGGGCTACTTTCCCTGGACAATCAGAGGCTGAGAGGTGACCTTATAGAGGTTTATAAAATCATGAGGGAGATGGATAGGATTAATAAGCAAGGTGTTTTCCCCAGGGTAAGGGAATCAAACTAGAGGGCTTAGGTGGAGGCTGGTACAGTTACATCATTTAAAAGACATCTGTACGGATATGTGAATAAGCGTTTAGTCGGATATGGGCCAAATACTGGCAAATGGAACTACATTTGTATAGGATATCTGGTCGGCATGGATGAGTTGGACCAAAAGGTCTGTTTCCGTGCTGTATATCTCTATGACTCTTATGTCTTCTTTAGAACTGGAACAAAAGCGGACCATACACTCCCTCTATCCTAGTGGTTTCCAACATTTTCAGTATAAACTGACACTTCAAGATGAACAATCCCATAGCACACCCATTTTTTTCCAGCTGAATCCATGGCTCATAAATGTCGCATTTACTTATATGAACAAAGCCATAGTAGGAATGGAGAAACTGAGCAATTGGAGGGGCACTTCGGCAGCCTCCTCACTCCTCTGCCCACCATTCAACCAGCTAATTCACACGTGCCATCTTGCAGAGATTGCTGTGCAGCCCAGTCACTGAGAGGAAGCTGGGTATTCTGCAGAAAATTTGAATATGTTACACTGTGAAGACCACATTTTTTATTTTACTGTAGTTTTGATTGCAGGCTGAATAGACAAAGGACTATTTTTTAAAAAAAAAAATTTACTGAAAAATCTAAGTCATCTTTACACTGCTGCTTTGTTCAAGCACAGGGAAAGACTGTTGAGATGGGGTGGACTCAGATGTGTACGAAGTGAGATTCAGCCAGCAGGGAGTTGCTGATTGGTTTGTGATGTTGTGACCAGTTGTGGATGAAGAAAGCCAAAATCAACCTGACAATAACTGTCCAATTGGGTAGCTGAACAGCTTAAAGCTGTGAATGATACTGACAGAAGTCTTTGGACTGCTACACGGGGAGATAAAAACCAAAAGAACTGGGGATACTATAAATCAGGAACAAAAACAAGCTGCTGGGATAGCTCAGCAGATCTGGCAGCACCTGTAAAGAGAAAATCAGAGTTAACGTTTCGGGTCCGGTGACCCGGACCCGAAAC